CCCACATCACATGGTGGGGTGTTTAAGAACTACTGAAGAGTGACTGTTGTGGGGTTTTTTTTCTGCTTTTCACTTGTTTGCTTTCCTTTTTTATATATATATATATATATATATATATATATATCTGAAGTGAGAGGGGAAATGTGTTTATAAGATGAAATTATTTCTATTTTACGTTTGTACCACTCCCAGGTCATTTCTTTCTATATATTTTTTTGTTGTATTTCAGCATTGGCTGGTTTTAGATGAGGTTAGATTAGAAGATTAGATGTGGTTAGACCAGCGGACATAATGGAAACCTGTGGTGACCTGTGACCTGTGTCAGGATGGTCTGACCTTTGACCTTTCCCCTGCATCTAATGAAGGGGACATTGGAGTACTTGACATAGGAGTGAAGGGGTACATGAAGGGTTTGATGAAGCACTTTGCATCAGTTGTTTCCTAAATGAAAGCCAGGATGCAAAATTCACAATGTAGCACCTCTGTATTTATCCTTTTTTTTTTTTTTTTTTCACTGTTTTAGTTTAGTTTTTAATTGCCTTTTTGCTTTTTTTCTGCAAAGCATGCAGAAAGGACTTCAGGGCTAGATAGGAGTTTGTAACCAACTACAGAGCACAGAGCAGGAGCAGGGGCTTGTGGGATTTGTCATACTCTGCATTTTTTTCCTCAGTGGGCGCCATCGGCAATCCATCTTTGGAGAACCGTCACCGCCAACCGATGCCTCCTTTAGTATGGGCAGGCCTTATTTGGGAGGTAGATCTAAATATTGATATAAAGAAGAACACAATATATTTTTAAGGGTTTTGTTTTGTTATTCTAAAGAATGTGCAAGGTCGCTCGATCTTGTACAGGACTGCAAAATGTTATTTTGTATAACTTCCACAGGAAAGACAAAACTTTGACTTGTAGAAGCTCTTTGTGCCTTTGAATATGGCTGTACCTCAAAATGAAGATAAATTATGTGTGATTGGACAGCGGTGTACAGCTTGATGTCAAATCTTACATGCAGCACAGCGTGCTGATGGGAAATCGCTCTGTAGACTGATTTTTTTTTTTTTCTGGTTTATAAAGCTATTTAAAATGTCTTTTACTATAAAATGAAGAAAAATTAGGCAAAAAATCTTGGTATACAATATGCAAAATTAACCACTTTGTTTAGAAACTGCAAATACAATATGTCTTACAGTTCTTTGAATTTCTGTTTTTGTCGGACGGACTCAGCTTCAAAAAACTTTGGAAATATATCCAAAATTTTGACGTTCTGTTGTTTCAGGTAGGGTACATTTTTAGAAGTGGCATATATGCAGACTGTACGCGAGGTCGTGCTGGTGAAAGTGTGTAGATATGTGAGATCGTATGCGCGTGTGCATACATTTGCAGATATGCCGCGTTGTACTGTACATGTGCATTCTATGTGTACATATACATTTATAAAAACATGAAAATACATATTCTATAAATATGTATGTACAATTATTCATAATAATATGTGTGCCTAAATGTATACATATTTAAGTATCTTTAGCAAGGTTGTATGCATAGCTATGCATATACAAATGCATAATATTGAAAGAATGAGGAAGTAAGACTAGTGATATATATATATATATAAAATCACTAGTCTGGCCGTCCTGAGCGTGTACTGACTGCGCTGGCATTGTGAATGTGAGCACTAATAGTGTGTCTCACAGCTCAAGTGTGTCCATATGTCTCTCTCACTCACCAGTGGGGCAGTTATCATAAGTCAAAGGAATAGTGCAATGCAAATCTTTTTTTTGTTTTGTTTATTAAGCGTTTGTACAGAAATAACTTCATGAAAAATAATTTGTGTGTTCAAAAGATAAACCGCATGCAGATTCTAACAGCTTGAGTTTGAGTAAATCAAATTTTCAGGAGAAATAATCCTTTAATACATGAGTGGCTGACTTAAATTTAATACATACACACTTAAGTCCATGCACAATGCCACATAAACTGTTAACTGTTTTGGATCCCTGACTCTACTCTACTTCTCAACTGGTGAAGTGCAGGGACAGTGTGTGATGTGACTTAGGCTGTGAGTGGCTGTAACACTGGTAGAAAGGCTTTATTCTCCTTACTATCCTCTGCAGCTTTTATGGTTCATGGTCAAACTTACTTCAGAAACTAAAAATACAAGTGACAATGAAGAAAAATAATTTATTGTTTCTTTTTCATTTTGTAACATTTATTTTAATAATGAGGCACATTAGAAGACCTTGGTCTATGTTTAGAATGGCAATGTGGGAAGAAATGTAATTTTGCAAATAAAATACCTCTAAAAAAAATTTGAGTTTGCCTTAGAGTTATGTTTTATAATCACAACTTGAAAAGTGGGTTGCTGCTAAAATTTCTCATTTCCAAATTTCTTTTTTTTTTCATTGGCGAATACTGAACCACTTTTTCTAAACTCTTCTTCCAATCTGGAATACCAACATAAATCTTGACCAAACAGTTAATCTCACTTCCAAAACTCAAAAAATCAAAGTTTGGTATGTAATGGTGGTTTGAGTTTAAATTAGTTTTTACAGAAATCTGTATGTCTTTTTCACTTTATTAAGCATTGGTTAATAACCAACAATTAAGTAACAAACAATTTGGTTGCATGTCTGTGCATATAATAATAATATTGTAAGTTTAAAAAAAAAAGCTGAAATTCCAGGGCTGCAAATATAATGAAATAATTAAATATAAAAAACAACATGTAAAGTGTAATTGCTCATACTGTATGTACTGTATTCTGAGGGTTCTGGTGCTCACGCTCTGTCACTCTTCTTTGCCCACCAATTGTTGTTTTGCTGTGTTCCTTGAGCTACATTTTCAAACAAAAATGTGCTGCAAATCTATAAACCTTTTGCAGGTTAAGTATGAAAGACAAGAGTAAAAAAAGAGTTGACTTTTGGGAGATGGTCATTTAAGGCATTTTATGTAAAAGCAATTTAAAATTATTCACAGTTTTGTCCACACATACTTCTGTTTCACTGACTATGTTAAGAGTTTTGAAATTATGACTTCTGTTTGGACCAATCTATTGTACATCAAAATAATTTATTCAGCATTTTAAACCAGAAAACGAAGACACTGAGAACATCCAAACCAGTAAAATCATTGATTTTCAACATTTTCTTGTTTCTGTGCACTTTAACTCAGGGCTTCCTGTTAAACTTTTGTTATCATTAACAATGATACTTCGTTATCATTGGTAACATTGTTACATTGTTATACAAACATAACTCTCACATGCCTTTCGTACATGTTACAAAGTCTTGTGCTTTCTTAGAAGGCTGTTTAGCATATGCAGTGATCTTCTGAACATCTTCATATGGCTGAGTGTTATCAGTGCAATGATCAGACAGCTGCTGCAGTAAAGTGCTAACACGCTCCTCTCCTCCGGCAAAAAACACTTTGACAACCGGAAGTCAGACCTGGAGAATGTACCCTACAGGAAGTGACAGAATATACAACAACATTAATATTAAATACATTTTAAAAGTTCCTTATACTTTTGACTATAATAAAAAACTTTAGAGTTGACATCTTATTTTACAACCTCCTCTAAGGTTTGGTGTGAATATGGAATCTACTTATAATCTTTCATACGTTAGTTAAACACAATGACTGTTCATTTCATGAAACTTAAACTCTTAAAAAATATGTTTGCTGTTTTAATTTAATAAAGCAGCTGAATGAAGGATCAGTTAACATTATATTTCACTTATTCAACTCTTCATGTCAATGAAGTTAACTTAATAATTTTGTGGAAAGTGTAGCCATTGTATGAAATGTCCTGTAAATACATTTCTAACCCGAGAAAACCTAATCTGCACCATTCTGTGAAATCTGGATCTAATTGAGCTGAATTTTTTTTGAAAATGATCGTTGCATATAGAACTACATACAGAATAATCAAAACATTCTCTAAACTAAAACTGAATCTTAAAAGCATTTGCCACAATTGGAAATTGGGTATATTGTGAAAATGATAAAGGCATTTTTGATAAAACAAAGGCAGAAAGGGGTAATGAAGAACAACAATTAGCCTTGGATTTACTCTATACCACAACAAAATTAACAATTTATCTAACTCTCTCGTGCTCTTTAAAACATTTTCCTCCCTCCTTTGTCCTCCTCTCTTTCATCAACTCAACAGCTGACGACTTTGCCACATTATTCATTAATAAAATTACAACCATCAGTGCACAACAGCAAACATACACTCACTCACATCCTTCTCTCCACTCTCTGAGGCAGAAGTCTCCAAACTCATCTTTCCAATCATCCTACTACTTGACATGGTTAACTGCCAGATCCTCCTGTCAACTCTATAGGCAAAGGGCATCTAAGGAACTGCACTTCCAGTGGTTCAAGTCTTACCTCTCAGATATGTCCTTCAAGGTATCTTGGAGGGGTGAGGTATCCAAGTCACAAGATCTAGCTACTGGGGTGCCTCATGGCTCAGTCCTTGGACCAATTCTCTTTTCTGTCTACATGGCATCACTAGGTACTGTCATTCAGAAACATGGCTTTGCTATGCTGATGACACTCAACTCTGTCTAACAGACATTTCTTGCTGGATGAAGGACCATCGCCATCAACTCAACCTTGCCAAGACAGAACTGCTTGTGGTTTCAGTAAACCCATCACTTCATCACAATTTCACCATCCAGCTAGGCGCATCAACCATAACTCCTTCAAGGACAGCCAGGAACCTTGGAGTTGTGATTGATGATCAGCTCAATTTCACAACCACACTGCTAAAACTGCCCAGTCCTGCAGATTTGCTTCCCAACTTTAGGAAGATCAGACCCTTTCTTTTAGAACATGCTAGACGACAACTTGTTCTGTCCAGGCTAAAAACTTTTTTCTTATAAAAAATAAATAAATAAAAACCTTGCTTTGTGTGCTGTGTGCTCTTGTCACACACTTGTCCCATATTATTGTTCTTTTGTTGGTTTTTTTATTGCTTCTATTGTCCTCATTTGTAAGTCGCTTTGGATAAAAGTGTCTGCTAAATGACTAAATGTACCTATTTATAAAAAATAAAATAAAAACAGTAATATTTTAAAATATTACATTATTAAAATACCGTATTTGCCCGAATATAAGACGACCCCCCCTTTTTCCAGATGTACCTTTTGGAAAAAGGCTTTTTAAAAACCAAATCTTGTTTTTTTCTCAGTAAAATACATTTTGTCTTCAATTATTTTTCCTATTTTAATTTTTGTTTTGAAAGTATGGTAAAAACTGGTCAAATGTACCAACAATCACATTTAAAAAATATACACTTTTTGATATACCATTAAAAAAAAAAAAAAACAGGTAGCCCATCTGAATTAGGACATTTCCACATATCCATCTAATAGTAGCCTACCAAAATCTTATTAACCGTAGAAGTTAAATCTTACTGTAGTCTTCAAATCTGGGTACTGTCTTACGTTTTAAAATCACAAAGGGAGTTTGGTCCCATCAGGCTAACGTGACAGTCACGACTCGTGCATCGTAAGGTTTTCTTTTTCTTTTGTTTTTACTTGCGATCTTTACAACACGCATTACATTACGTATTTCATGGCACACTCGTTTTATGCGTATTTGGCGCCACCTATTGTTGTGGGTGTATTATTGACATGTCAAAGTCTAGACCCTGAATATAAGACTACCGCGTTTTTTCAGATGTATTTCCAAGAAAAAAACATTGTCTTATATTCGGGTCAATACGGTAAATGTAAATATTATCCTTTCAAGTCTGAAGTAATTTAATACAGTTGGTGTATTTGCTACCCAACAATAATGCTTGAGATTGGGGAGTATAATGTCAAACTGTCTTTGCAGAAACACCTTTTACATATTTGAAATGTTTTGTGCCACATTAAAAAAGAGATCAATATATCTGAGGGAAAAAAAGCTTTACCCACAAGAAAGAACAAATAATCACTTGAAAAATCATTTCAAATCATTCAAATTTATTACATTTCTGGATTTGCTACAATATTCAAAACAAAACAAAATTGCATTCCCTTGCAAATAGCATCCAGTGGACAGGACAACAAAACCCAACATTTCCTCAAAAGGTATTTTCTTTTCTTTCTTTCCTTTTTTTTGGCAACAAAGTTTTCTACGGCTCATCTTATTACAAATGTGTGCAAACATAATCGTTAAACCTTCTTGTTCACAGTCAAATTCTGCATCACTTAAGTAAATTCGCACTTTGCACATCTATTTCATTGATGACTCTGTTGAGAATGTTTTTCACTATGGACATGCATAAACAGAACTGAGTTAACTGAACTCATTCCAAACCATGTAAATGGAAGTAATGGTTGATTTAATGTTTCATAAGGTTTAATGCTTTCTGGAATACTCCCTAGGTGTATATTGTGAATAATACAATTGTCTGTTTGTTTAATGCATTTAGCAGGGTGGAACTTTACACTACTTTGGGTTAGTGATGTTCGATTTTTGAACGAATTGTTCTTTTGAGCCGGTTCTCAGGAAGTAACCGTTCGAGCCGGTTCACAAAATCGAACTGAATCGAACTTTAGTTCTGGGTTGATGACGTAAGACACACAGCCGAAGTAGCATGTCCGACTCAAAAAGAATCGAATGAGCCATTTCAACTAACTGTCGAAGTTTGCAGAGAGTTACCGAGGACTCAAAAAGAAACTAATTTCGGATTTGTATCAATACTTTGGGTCTTGATATGGTCATGTCTGGATTAATTGAATGACCGATTAATTATTGATGTTTATTGGCTGCTACCATACAAGTCATATGGACTTCTTCTTTAATACTTTAATTGTTTTTTGTCTTTCTTGGAGCTCGAAAGCCTCTGGTCATTATATGAAAAAAGTGCAATGCAATCATTTTACAAAACTCCTCCTCTTGCGTTCCATGGAAGAAAGTAAGACATACAGCTCTGAAACAACACGGGGGTAAACAAAACTCAGGCTTCAATTACCAGGATGAAGCTGGGGTTGTTGCGGTTTCTCCAGCTGAAGGACGGGACACTGATCTCAGGATAGAGGTTTTCATGCAGTACCTCACAGCCATGGTGAGTGTGGCCACTCAGGATTAGGCGGGGCTTGAACCACCACAAGAGCTGTTATTGGAGAAGATTGTCGGCTTTTAATGTTCATATATGTAATGATCTCGTCCTACTCTGGTCAAGAGCTTGTTGATGTAGAGTGTACTCAATACCAAGTCCCTCAAATCAACAGAAATCTTAATCTTTTTTTAAAGAGTTGATGCAATGAACCTCACAAACTTTGTCAAATGCAATGATCAGTTCATTGGTTTCCACATGGACTGATATAAACCTGTGCACCCTGACTCCCATAAATTGTATGTCAAACAATCAGATAAAGCATTTGATTTTGAAAATATTTTTGTGTAGGAAATATGCATCAGATGGTCAATGGACATGCCATCTTAGGCTGAGTGTACAGTGCCCCTTGATTAAGAGTAGCTAATCCATCCAGTAGCTAATCCATCATCAACATGTCACCATATCCGGCTCACTGACTAAGTTCTAAACACTCGCAAATCTTCTCATTGTGACCAACAGTACAGTAAATTGATTCATTGTGTAGTGTATTCAGGTGTAACATCATAATGTAGCACATTATTTTTAAAAGTAACATTGCTTGTGTTTATGAGCATCTTGTTTTACCTTTTTGGAGGCATTCTTAGATAAAACATCATAACGCTCCTGAAATAGCTGGTACCGATCATCCAGTGGGGCTGCATCTACACCTGTACACATAGCATCACTCACTCTATACAGAGGGTAATGCTGGGATCAGTAATACCATTATTACAGTGAAGAATATATTACTGCAATTTCTAAAGCAATGCATTTATAAGAAATACCATAAAATCCTGCCTTTACTTAAACTACATGTGTATGACAAAATGCATTTAGTTACCATGATAAATACAGAAAAACATACACAGTCTCACCTGTAGCAGAACAGGTGCTGTTTGGGCAAAACTCTCTGTGTTCTTGCACTGGCCATAATGCTGTGCACCCTAACAGAGTAAAAAGAGTTAAATGTACCACAATCAACCACAACAGAATCAGGATCACACCATTAAAATGTAAAAACAAAAAAGATCAAGATTTAATAAGGAAATCAGTGCTAATAATAATAATAATAATTATTATTATTATTATTATTATTACCTTATGACTGGTTTTGTGGTCCAGGGTCACATGAGATAATGTTCTTGTTAATGTTTACTAATGAACTTACTAAACATTACCTAATGATTAACATATGATTATTTAATGTACATTGAAATGCTTACAAATGTTAGTAAACTTTCAGTTTAATTTGTTGGTCTTTGTTGTGTAGACCTCTATTTACACATCTTAAATAATCTATAAATTATTTATTCATGTTTTTGCAGTACCCAATCTAAAGTGGAAACTATTCATCATCTGCAAATGTTTATAAATGTTTACTAATCATTATGAACAGTCATCTCAATGGCAAAAAGTGTCCCGAAAGACCCAAATTTACCCTTTTCACACATCTTTACTAATCATTTATTAATCATTTGTTCATGTTTTTGCAGTAGCCAATCTAAAGTTGAAACTATTCATCATTTGTAAATGTTGTAAATGTTTATAAATGATTACTAATCATTTAGTATCTTTATGGGCCTTGGACTTATGTAACAAGGTTTGTGTAAAGGGTGGCTGGTTATGTTTAGCTAAATGCTTGCTAAAGACATAACATTATTGTAATTTTGGTGCAAAAAAGTTTTTTATTGCCTCAATACTCACATTAGTATACTACTCTTCAGTATATTATTAAACAGGTTAGCTATTCCTTGAATTATAAATAAACAGGGGAAAATATATTTTTTAAAGAAAATACTTTTTCATTTATCAAAACAATATAATTTAAACAGACTGAACTGTGTTCCCTTATAATAATCAAATTGACCCCTGTACACTGTCGACCATTTAACCTACCCTTAAACCTACCCATACCACCAAACCTGTCCCTAACCTTACCCATATCACACCTCAATAGCAGCTAATGTGTTGCGCATTAACACAAGCTTTTAATCATTTTATA